AAAAAAATAAAATAAAATAAAATAAAGGTCCATCAACAACCAAAAAAATATAAAAAAAAAAATTGGGTGTGGTGGTGCACACCTATAATCCCAGTAGCTACCGCTTGAGCCACATCCCCAGCCCAGGTTTATTTTTTTATACCAGAACATTTTATACAAGAACATTTTAGGCAGTGATTTGAGAATGGATTTTACCTTTATTCAGAATATTTTTCTGGTCTCTGGCTTACTGATTTTCTTTTTTGTTTTTATAGAAGGTTTATTTGGGGCTCATGGTATCAGAGGTTTTAGTCTTTTTGTTCATAATCAGCTGACTGCATTGCTCTGGGTGGGCTTGAGGTGAGGCAGAACATCATGGCAGAGGGCATGGTAGAGGAGAATTGCTCAGTTTATGGCAGTTGGGATGGAGACACAGTGAATATAAAAATCTAATCACTCTTCCTGGTCCCATTAAAATGCCCCTCCTTTTAAAATTTTTTAATTAGTTTATTTTTGGTAGGTTTTATATTCTGCAAGATATGTGAATGTTAACACACAAGGGGGGAGAGGAAGAACAGAAGTTCAATAGATTAGACAAAGGGGAATGAAGGGAAGGGGGGGGAATAGGGATAAGAAAGACAGTGGGATGAATCTAACATAACTTTCTTATGTACATATATGAATACACCCCTAGTGAATCTCAATATCCTGTACATCCACAAAGCTGGGATCCTAATTAAAATAAAACATACTCCATGTTTGTATAAATAATATATTTAAATATATAAGTGTATAAATAAACTCTACTGTCACATATAACTAAAAATAACAAATAAGTAAAAAATATAGTATATAAAAAAAAATTTGTTTTTTGGTAATCAAGATTGAACCTAGGGGCACTTGACCAGGAAGCTACAACCTTGTAAGTTCTTTGCTTAGCATCTGGAAGGCCATCTTAAATGACAGCCTCCAAGTTTAATAAAAAGTTTCGCTTTCCTGCCCAAGGGCCTTTTTGAGAAAGGTTCACCACACTCCCTCACACAAACCCAAACCTTCACTGCCCAGGGGCATTTCTGAGAAGGATCATCACTTCCACATCCCAACCCTATCTTTAAGCACCTGCATTAGGACCTGCCAGGCTGAGCCTGCCCTATTTTGCCTCTCTTCCTCTATGGAAAGATGTGCCTTTATTTGTCAGCTCTGACAAATGAACTCTCCTGTGTATCTCTTCTCTGCCTGGTTGCCTGGTCTCCATCTTTCTTTTTTTTTTTTTTTTTTTAAATATTTATTTATTTTTTAGTTCTGGGCAGACACAACATCTTTGTTGGTATGTGGTGCTGAGGATCGAACCCGGGCCGCACGCATGCCAGGCGAGCGCGCTACCACTTGAGCCACATCCCCAGCCCCTCCATCTTTCATTTCTTGTCTTTTGTTTCGCATTTTCCTTTCACACCCTGGTCCTTTTTTTTTTTTTTTTTTTTTTTGTGGAGACAGTTTCCCTCTAAGTTGCTGAAGCTGGCACTGAATTTGCTATCCTCCTGCCTCAGCCTGCCTCAGGGTTCCCTTCCCTCCTAGTTTTTGGGATTGCCTGCACAAATTGCCCCTGGTAACCAAGCGCAATGGCACATGCCTGTAGTCCCAGCAGCTCAGGAGGTTGACACAGGTGGATCACGAGTTTAAAGCCAGCCTCAGCAAAAGCTAGGCTCTAAGCAATTCAGTAAGACCCTGTTTCTAAATAAAATACAAAATAGGGCTGTGTATGTTGCTCAGTGGTCAAGTACTCCTGAGTTCAATTCCTGGTACCCCAAACAAAACAACAAAATAAATTGTCCCTAATTTTCATTTATTTATTTATTTATTTATTTTAGTTGTAGCTGGACACAATACCTTTGTTTATTTTTATGTGGTGCCAAGATTGAACCCAGTGCCTCACACATGCTCAGCAAGTGCTCTATCACTGAGCCTCAACCCTGGCTCTTTATTTATTTATTTATATTTCTGGGGATGGAACCCAGAGCCTCCAGCATGTTAGGCTCTACCACTGAACTATACTCCCAGCCCCGAAAAGCTTTCTCTCCCAATCACTTCTGAGCATTCAGTGCTCGGTGTCATTCTCTCTCTCTCTCTCTCTCTTTTTTTTCCCCTTTATTTTTGTGTTGTCCATGAACCTTGATGTTATTTGTTTATTTTTTTGTATGGGATGCTGAGAATCCAACCAGTGTCTCAACACATGCTAGGAAATTGCTCTACTACTGAGCTACAACCCCAGGCCCAACTCCATGTCATTCTTATGACATTTATTACCTTATATCTTATAATACAATATGCTGTCTGTATTCTACTTGAAAGCCTATTTAAATGGGTACTATTACAAGTAGAAGGGTTTTGAAATTTAATAAATTCAATATTTATTTATTTGGCAACAGGGATTGAACCCAAGGGACCTTAACTACTGAGCCACATCCCAAGCCCTTTTTATTTATTTATTTTTGTCTTTTAGTTGTTGATAGACCTTTATTTTACTTATTTATATGTGGTGCTGTTGTGCTGAGAACCGAACCCAGTGCTTCATACATGCCAGGCAATTGCCCTACTGCTGAGCCCCAGCCCCAGCCCTTTTTATTTTTTGAGACAGGATCTTGCTAGGTTGCTGAGACTGACTTCAACTTGTGATCCTCCTGCCTCAGCGTCCCATGCTGCTGGGATTACATGCTGTGTGCCATCACAACCTGATTATTTATTTATTTGGTGATCGAACCCAGGGCCTCAGGTATAGTAGATGTGCTTTTACCACTGGGGCTATATCCCCGGATCCTCACATATAAATTTGTTGAAGGAAAGAATGAAGAAGCTTGGGTCATGTTACCTCTCTGTGTCTTTGTTTGCTCTTACACAGTCCCATGTCAGCGTTGCACAGAAGGAAAAGGCTAATGCATGTTTGAGGTTTTGAAAACTTAGAGCCCAGAATAAGGTATTTTCTTTTCTTGTTAGTAGTTACAATATTTTGCATGAGGTTAAAAGGCTAAATTATCCATAAGAGCCTTGGGACTATCTCAAAAACAGAGGAACTTTAAGGCTTTTAGATTTGAAGAGGGCAAAGAGGTAGTGCCTCATGATGGAAGAGCTTGTGCTTTAGTATCAGAGATACATGTTTGATTCTTGGTTGCAGCACTCGCCGGACTACCTGTGTTACCCTCAATTATTTAACTTCTCTGAATATGGAATTGCATTATCTATAAAGCAGTCATGAGGATATCACGTCCTGCAGGGTAGCTGTGAGTATTAGAGATAACTTAAGTAAAATGCTTGGCATGTAGCTTACACTATAAATATGGGAAGCAAGCCAGGTGCAGTAGTGATCGCCCCTAATCTAGTGACCCAGGAGGCTTCAGGAGACCAAGTTAGAAGGATGGAAAGTTCCAGGCTAAGTCTGGGGGGGCCACTCTGGAGGGTGAGGCAGAAGGGTAACTCATTCAAAGCCAGTCTCAGCAATTTAGCAAGATCCTCAGAAATTTGGTGAAATACTATCTCATAATAAAATGGCTTAGCCAGGAGTGGTGGTGCACACTAGGAATCCCAGCTACGGGAGGCTGAAGAAGGGGGAATCATAAGTTCAAAGCCCACTCTCCCACAGTAAAAATTAATGAGGGTGGGGCTGGGGATATACCTCAGTTGGTAGAGTGCGTGCCTCGAATGCACAAGGCCTTGGGTACAATCTCCAGCACCACAAGAAAAATTGAGAAAGAAAAATAATGAGGACTCGCAAGTGGATTAGTGGTAAAGCACCCCTGGGTGAAATTCCCAATATCACAAACAGAATAAATAAATAAATAGGAATGGGATGTTGCTCAGAGTAAAACCCCTCTGGGTTCAATCCCTGTTCCGCAAAACAAAACCAAGAAAACAACAACAAAAAATAATTAAAAATAAAAGTGTGTGGGGGGCGTGGGTTGTGGCTCAGCGGTAGAGCGCTCTCCTAGCACTTGCGAGGCCCTGGGTTCGATCCTCAGCACCACATAAAAATAAACAAATAATGATAGTGTCCAACTAAAAAATAAATATTTAAAAAAAAGTGCGAAGCTTTTTAAATACTCAGGGACTTAAAACGTCACCACGTTCGCTCTTTACCTTGTTAAAAACATTTTTATCATGGTAGCTAAAAGGCTTGCTTAAAAGTACCGTAAAATGCTTTTGCACCGGAACCTAGGATATTGGCTCAATGAGTTACCAGTATGATTCACGTTTTTACGTACATATTTTTTGCTAGCTGTTTCTGTAAAGCTTTCCTCAAATAAAAAGGTGGAAGCTTATCGCGAGAATCTGCAGGATGCTTTTCTCGTTTAGGTTCCTGTTCTCGCGTTGTTAGATCGAGTAGTGGGGAGAGGCGAAAAGGAAGCTAGAAGTATCGCGAGAGTTGTGCTCTCGCGGTATTTCCTGAGATTGCCCCTCCCCCCTCCCCCAAGTGCCGTTTCGGTTTAATCTAGTGTGTGACTGAGATCTGTGTGAGGGAGCGAGTGTGAGTGTGAGGTATTGAGGCGAGGCGAAGGCTAGAAAAGGGGCTTCCCTCAGGAGAGAGGGACAAAGGGGGCGTGAGGTACCTAGTTCGCGGGACCCCGGCGACAGGAAGCCGCCCTGAGCCGGGCTACCGGGTAGGGGAAGGGCCCGCGCAGTCTTCACAGGGCCCCAGAGCCCGAGTCGGCCCCACATCCCCGAGCCGTCGGCTACCTACTTCCTCCACCTCCCGGCGCGGAGGCCTGAGGACTGGTTCCGCGAGGTTGGGGGTTGCAGACTTAAGGAGCTACTCGTTGTCTCGCAACTCCACTGCTGAGGAACTCTCATTTCTTCCCTCGCTCCTTCACCCCCCACCTCATGTAGGAGGGTGCTGAGGAATCGGGAGGGAGGAGGAGCCTGGCCTACCGTCCCTTCCCTCCCCACCACCTTCTAGGGGCACTTTGGTGGGCGTGGATTTAGGGTTGGGGGGGTGGGTGGGGGTTACTTCTTGGAGTGCTGGGGAACTTTTTCCCCTTCTTACAGCCAGGGGAAAGGGAATGCCCAATTCAGAGAGACATGGGGGCAAGAAGGACGGGAGTGGAGGAGCTTCTGGAACTTTGCAGCCGTCATCGGGAGGTGGCAGCTCCAACAGCAGAGAGCGTCACCGATTGGTGTCGAAGCACAAGAGGCATAAGTCCAAGCACTCCAAAGACATGGGGTTGGTGACCCCCGAAGCATCCTTGGGTACAGTTATCAAACCTTTGGTGGAGTATGATGACATCAGCTCTGATTCAGACACCTTCTCTGACGACATGGCCTTCAAATTAGATAGGAGGGAGAATGATGAACGTCGTGGAACGGATCGGAGCGACCGCCTGCACAAACATCGTCACCACCAGCACAGGCGTTCCCGGGACTTACTAAAAACTAAACAGACCGAAAAAGAAAAAAACCAGGAAGTCTCCAGCAAGTCAGGATCGATGAAAGACCGAGTATCAGGAAGTTCAAAGCGTTCAAATGAGGAGAACGATGACTATGGTAAGGCACAGATATCCAAGAGCAGCAGCAAGGAATCCAGGTCATCCAAACTCCATAAGGAAAAGACCCGGAAAGAACGTGAGCTAAAGTCTGGACACAAAGATCGGAGTAAAAGTCATCGAAAAAGGGAAACACCCAAAAGTTACAAAACAGTGGACAGCCCCAAACGGAGATCCAGGAGTCCCCACAGGAAATGGTCTGACAGCTCCAAACAAGATGACAGCCCCTCAGGAGCTTCTTATGGTCAAGATTATGACGTTAGTCCTCCGAGATCTCATACCTCTAGCAATTATGACTCCTACAAGAAGAGTCCTGGAAGTACCTCAAGAAGGCAGTCCATCAGCCCACCTTACAAGGAGCCTTCTGCCTATCAGTCCGGTACTCGGTCCCCCAGCCCCTACAGTAGACGACAGAGGTCTGTGAGTCCTTACAGCCGGAGACGGTCGTCCAGCTATGAAAGGAGTGGCTCTTACAGCGGGAGATCACCCAGTCCCTATGGTCGAAGGCGCTCCAGCAGCCCTTTCATGAGCAAGCGGTCTCTCAGTCGAAGTCCGCTCCCCAGGTGAGCTTTTGTCTAACAGCCCTTACAGAGGTAGGGTGGGTTGTGAGGAACTGAAAATTAGTCATGATACCTTTTTGTTGAAGCCCCCAGTGTTTGTGCTTGATTAGGACACTTTCCCATTGGCTAGTCATTGAAGTAGATAAGTCTGGTCTCCCCTTACTCCAGAATTTGAGAAGTAAAGATTTCACATGCCTGCAGCTTTTAAAGGTAGGTACTTCAGTAGTGGGATCTTCAGGTGTATGCTTCTGTGTGAGAGAAATGGGCTTTTGTCTGATGAGTGCAGAGCATTGTTATTAGTTTTTAGATCCTATTTCTGTTGCTTTGCCTCAAGTTTTTAAAAAATCCCCTTGGTGTTAGTACTTAAACTTTCTTGGACCTGACTAGAGACTTGAGTGATTATAACTTTTCATTTGTGTTCTCTTGAGGCTATTCGATTAGGTCATCCTACCATTTGTGCTGTAAACTGAGTCTCCAAACCTGTAAGTTTATTCATTGCCTAATTGACAGGCAGAGTTCTATCTTTTAATGGATGTTTGAGAGGAAATTCACCTGATTAGGTGGTTTTCTTTTTGACATTAAATAGCTAGAAGTAATTGGTCCCTAGGACAATTTCTCTCTCTGTCTGTCTGTCTCTCTCTCTCTCTCTCTCTCTCTCTCTCTCTCTCATACCAGGAATTAAATCCAGGGGACTTAGTCAACATCTCCAGCCCATTTTATTATTTATTTATTTTTTAAAACATATTTTTTAGTTGTTCATAGACCTTTACTTTATTTGCTTATTTATATGTGGTTCTAGGAATTGAACCCAGTGCCTCACATGAATGAGGCATGTGTTCTACTGCTAAGCTACAACTCCAGCCCCCCATCTTATTTTTTATTTTGAGAAAGGGTCTCACTAAGTTGCTTAGGGCCTCGCTAAATTGCTGAGGCTGGCTTTGAACTCTCCATCCTCCTGCCTCAGCCTTCCAAGTTTGGGATTACAGGCATGTGACACCATGGCCAGCCCAATTTGGTTTTCTTTACAACTTTACTAAATGGTACCTTGTGACCACTGACAGTTTTCAAAATCTTTCTCTAAAAATATGGTAATAATGTCTTCACAATATTTTTGTGAGAAAGACATATTAGAAATTTCAGCCTTAGGGTGTATTATCTGTGGAAAACTGTTTTGGTTCCTAGGCAATGAAATATACCTTATTTGAGGACTCATCTGTGTCTACAAAAGAAAAATGTGAGCTTTTATTGAAACTGAGTGGAATCCTAATGCTCCTTTGTGACCTTTGGCAAATGATTTAATTTCTCCATGAATAAAATAGAGATAATAATTATCTACTTTTAGAGTTGTTGTGAGGATTAAATTAATTAATATGAAGTGCATATCATACATTGTGCTACTCAGTAAATTCTGTGAATGAGGATAATGTCATTGAATGCTAGTAAAGAAATTACACTAATTTAAAAAATTCATGCAGTGTTTTGTATGTTAGTGTAATTTTTGGTGACTTAAAGTTATAATTATTCAGAAACTAGTGTGAATTCATCAAATTGCAGAGTTCCTAATTGTCAAGGGTTGAAGTTTCTTAATATTTTCAACTCAATTTATTATTATTTTGTTGGGGGAAGGCCCTGGTGATTGAACCCATGGGCACCTAACTACTGAGCTACATTCCTTAGTCCTTCATTTTTTGAGGCAGGAGCTTGCTGAATTGCCTAGGTTGGCCTTAAACCTGTGATCCTCCGTTCTCAGTCTCCCCAGTTGCTGAAATTACAGGAGTTCAATGCTGTTCCCAGCTTACTGTTTTAAAACACCAGTTAAAAGAATTATAGTGGTCTGGTGTTGTGGCGAACGCCTGTAACCCAGCAGTTTGGGAGGCTGAGAYGGGAGAAACTYAGTTCAAAGCTAGCCTTGGCAACTGGGAGGAACTAAGCAACTCAGTGAGACCCAGCCTCTAAATAAAATACAAAATAGCACTGGGGATGTGGCTCAGTGGTGGAGTACCCCCCCCCCAGTTCAATCTCTGCTACAAAAAAAAAAAAAAAAAAAAATTATAGTGAACGCCTGTATATTACATAACACCTAGAGTATACACTTAATATTTGCTATATATTTTACCACATACCTATTGATCTCTTCATCAGTCCATCTTTAGATTCATCTTAAAGTAAGTTGCATGTATCAGTACACTTCATTCTAAAGCCTTCAGCATGTATGCCATTTCCTAGAACCCAGTGTTTTTTGGAGGGGTGAAGGGTAAATTTATATATCACAAAATGCATAAGTCTTTAGTGTGCCATTTGTAAATTATTATGTATAGATTTTTTTTTTTTTTTTGGTACTGGCAATTGAACGCAGGGACACTTTCCCAATGAGCTACATCCCCACCTTTTTTTTTTTTTTTTTGAGTTTTCATTTTGAGACTAAGTTGCATAGAGACTAAG